GACGAGAATTTGTCGAAAGTACACGTATACTCGCCAAACTGGACTTCTGAAACCTATTATTATACGTGCTACTAGTTCAATTATCTTTTTTCCCATGATATACTCTACCCATTTAACTCCTATTATCACCCGTCCCGTATTACAGGAGGATGGGGTTTTCGCGTGCCGTAGTGGACCCTAAATGTAACTTCTACCCACACAGAGATAATCACGATTAAGCCTTCTGTGGGATAGGAACGATGCGCATCAAACTACACTGATTATGGAATTGAAATTCGTATCTATATTTCGCTGGAGCTAGCAAATGGCCTGCTCTGAAGAGGCGAGTAACAAGTACTAAGAAGATGTGCACGTCCGCCTGGCATCTTTGCCAAAGGCAGAGAAGCCAATAATCTTTGGGGAGTTTAAAGCCCGCGTTGGGGGCAGATCGCGCTTTCTAGGAGGGAGTGGTAAGTGTCCACGGCCTCAGCGACTGTAACCACAACGGCCCCCGCCTTCCGCGAACCTGCACAGAACACCACTTCATCATAACCAACACATTCTTCCGCCATCCCATGGAACACAAGACCACCTGGATACATCCTCGATCACTGAGCTGGCACCCGCTGAACAGATTACGGCCTTGACATTCCCACGATTAGGCTCTGATTGAAAACTCACTGAAAACCGCAGGGTAAGTTAAATAAGTCTCTGAGAAATCGGTTGTTAACTACTTCGAGCTCAACTATCTACTGGCCCAGCACCTAGAGGAACTACAGATTTCGGACGGTAAAACCATATTGGAGATACAGTTGTTCTGACCGCGAACAATCATCTACTCTATCTTCCTAGACATTTATAGTCACCCACGTAGTCAATATCCAGATTGTTTACACAATAATGATGAGCAAATCGGAAAACGTTCTGCGCAGAAAAATACGCTGCAGAAAGCCTACGACACAAACCAAAGTGGCTTAATGTAGCAACGGTTACAGGAGATGCAAGACGCCTGGATGGATTTTGAGGCCGACGAAATACAAGGAAATGC